CAGACCGCAGATCAATCTTGGAGAAGACACTGGCTACTCTCAACTGATCAAAGTGATCCTCGATTCTCGGCAAGGGATACTTGATCTTGACCTTCAAATTGTTCAACTCACGATAATTGATGCACATGCGCATCGAACCATTCTTCTTCTTCACAAACAGCACGGGCGCTCCGTAGGGTGAAACACTCGGTCGGATGAAACCAAGGTTCAGCAGCTCCTGGATTTGCGTCTTGAGTTCTTGCAACTCCTTCGGTGCCATTCGATAAGGGGCCTTTGAGACAGGTCCGGCTCCAGGCAGTAAGTCAATGGTGAATTCAACTCGTCGATTGGGCAGCCCACCTGGCAACTGGTCGGAGAAAACATCGGGGTACTCACATACGATTGATACGTCTGGCTTCTTCTCTTCTCATTCTCCAATCATGCTCACTAGGTAGCCTTGGCAACTACCCTTCGCTATTCTCTTCATGGCCTTTAGAGAGGATATGACCTTCGGCACGATTTTCGACATGGCGCCGTAAAACACGATCGACTCTCCATCGTTTGGGTGAAGCGTGACCTCCTTCTCTAAGCACCAGATGTCAGCACGATATTGGGTAAGCCAGTCCATGCCGAGGATGATGTCTAAATCCCGCATATCAATGATATAAGCATCTGCCTCTAACGTTCGGCCTCCAATCAAAATTTCAAGTCCCTGTATCATCGCATCGGTAGAGACCGTCTTTCCCGAAGCTAGACAAACCTCGAGAGCATCGACTCTACTAACACTATGGATTCCCAGAGACTCTAGGCATTGACGAGGGATGAAAGAATGCGCCGCTCCAGTATCACATAAAGCATAAATAGGCACATTCGATAAAGATAGCATGCCAGACATTGTACCTGCATTGTTGGTTGTCTCCTCCTGAGTAAGGGCATAAACTCAGGCTGGGGCTCGCTGCTGCTGCTATTGCTGTTGAGGCTGGGGCTGATTTGGCCTTTGGGGCGTTGGGAAAAAACGGGAGTAGTGGCCCTTCCTCTGGCAGTTGAAGCAAGTGATGTTGATAGCTCGACACATGTTGGCATCATGAATTCGTCCACATGCCCTACACTGTTGAGGTCCTCCTGGAATCTGACAGAGGGGTTGGGCATTCTACACCACAAGCTACTGCTGCTGAGGGTGGCGCAGGCCATGATTAGGGCGCTTGCCCTTCTTGCGGTTCTGCTGATCATTCTTCCTCTTGCCAGAGCTAGAGGATGGTGGAACAGTGGTGAAAGGGGCAAGATGCTGATAGAAAATCTGAGGAATGACAGGTGGCTGAGAGATGCGCGGAGGTGCAGTCTGAGTGGTCTGAGAAGCATGATAATAGGAGGGGATCGGAGCTATCAAAATCAGACAACTCTCAACCTCCTGAGCTCGCAGAACGGTATCAGCATAAGGCATTGCTCCATGCCTCCCTACGAGCTCTCGAATTCGCTGATTCAGCCCCTTCAGATACTTGCGATCATTCTTGGCATCAATATTCACCATCTCGCCAGCGAAGATACTCATGCGAGTGAAGTTGCGTGTATACTCATCCACGCTGGCGTTTCCCTGCATGAGGTGCCAAAACTCCTGCTCCATGCGATCCCGGAAACTCTGGGGCAGAAACTTGTCTCAAACAATCTCCTTCATACGCTTCCAGGTGAGACCTTCACGCTCCACCTCTGGCCTCAAGGCCCAGTAATCAATCCACCAGTCTGAAGCGTCCATCTTCATCTGGAAGCCAGCCAGAGAGACTCGCTGTGGCTTAGTGAGAGGGAGCACGGCGAAGATCTTATCTAACTCCTTCATCCACTCCAGCACAACAGTGGAACTCTTAGTCTCTGTGAAGGTAGGCGGATGCATGCTGACGAGACGATGGACACGGGGACGGAGACAGAAATGGCTGCCTGTTGCGAGAATTGCGTCTAGCCATGGCTCTACATTGAATAATCCGAAGAGTTAAGCACAACCAAAAATATCAATTCTAGAGTTCAACGCTTTAACACTAGAATTCAAATTATAATATGGTGGATGGTCCTAAGCCCCAATAATATAAACAAAACAACAAAACTCATACCTCGAGTTGGCGCGGCGAGACGAAGCGAGTGGTCAATGGTCATTAACACAATAACACTTAGAGATAGTCTACAAAAAGGCTGACTAGCTCTGATACCATACTGTAACGCCCCGTTTTATTTTAAAGAGTTTACCAAATTTATTTATAAAAATCAGAGTAAATTTTTCGCAAAATTCCAAAATTAAACTTTGAACTTAAACGGGCGCTTCTTGACTACCGACAAAATAAACAATTAAAAACAAACATCGGAACCTACACATGCATTCTAACAACATAATAATCAGACCAAGTCATAATAAATTTCCAAAACCAAATACAAAAGGTTCCAACATAATCCCATCAACATGATCAAATGTTTAGGCAGAAGCATCATAATTCATCGATAACAATTCAACATGAAATAAATAAATACGTAAGCAAAGACATGACGACCCAATGACCACCACTTGCTCGTCTCTAGCCGCCGCCGCCAACAATGCTCAACCTAAAGATAGGAAGAGAAAACAAGAGGACAAAACAACAATGGGGGTGCACTATGCTCACCAATACCGCACAATATATTTCGCATAAAGATTCAAAACCATAATCGAAGTATGCATAGAATCCATGTCTACTCCCTATACGGACCTATCACAAACCTCCTATGTACATACAACAACCTTCCGATCAGACATCGACAAGGAAGTAACCGGAAACCTTCCCTCCCTAGCTCGACATAGGCAAAGGGATCCTTTCCGGGAGGCAGTGGAGCTTTTTTTCCCCTCCCGACTAGGCAAATGGTTCAGGGCATCACCTCCCGACTAGGCAAACGGTTCATCGACCTCTCACTCTTTATGCATTCGTCAAAGGCACTACCAACGGGAATCCTAGACTAGGGTTCTCACGTATACAACAACTATTGAAAAGAGCATTTATACGAAATAACAAGTGCAATAATTATCGATACACAACACTGTACCCACCTGGAAGTAGCGGATAACACGAAAGCGAGACTCGGGTAAGTGGTGAGGTCAATACCTTAAAACACCTACACAAAATCCAGATAACTACTCGATTACAAACAATCCAACGGACACTTAAACTTAGTTGAAACATTTCAACTAAGTGGCTCGTGGAAAATCTCGTGGAGTTATCAAATATTTCACTAAACTCGGAACCAGGTCTTGGAAAATCACAAAATAGTCAAATAATGGTTGACCAAGTCAAATAAACAGTCAAAGGTCAACTATAGTCAAAGGCTCTAGAGAAAGTCCGAAAATCAGATTATGGACAGGCCTGGGCGCTGGCACGCGCGCACTGCCAGACACTGCTGGCCTATCGCACGGTGCCAGGCACTGCCAGCACTCGCGCGCTTCCGAGCACGGGCACGCTGCTGGGCGCGGGCTACTGGCGACCAGCACTATATGCCATCTCTCGGTTATATCAAAATCCAACAGGGAGTTTAACTCCAAAATTTAAAAACATAACATTCTGAAAAAAATAACCTCATATAAGAAAATTTTCACAAAATTTCACATTTGAAAAATATGAACGATATTTGAGAAATTAGGACAAATAGGGCACGTTATCAAGATGACCAGTCATCCTAACAAATTTGAATCTAAAATTTGAACACATGATATTACATGCTGAACCAAGACAATTCACCAATTTTCAGCTTAAACACATAATCATGCTATTTATGAAAATTAATAAAAATAATCAGTATTTTTGAACATGAACTTAACATCTGACCATATCAACGTTTCAAGACTTCAAATTTTTTATCACAAACATTACATCATACTCAGAGAAACATATAAAAATTCTAGACTTAAAAAATAAACATGTAATTTATGAAAATTGAAATAAGTTTCAGCCAAAAACCCGATTTTAATAAAACACCACTTACTGAATTCCAACATTTCTTATATTCTTGCTGCATCAAATATCACCCAAAATATGCACAATAACCAAGTTTCATGCATTTATAATGAAAATCCAATTTTATATGATTTATTGAATATTCTGCTGAAATGAATATATAATTATTTACCCTGTCAATTCAACTCCAATAATTATGACATTTTAAAAAAAAGTCAATACACATAACATGAGAAACATATTATAAATTTAGAATTTTTGGACAACTGAGCGATTTATCACGAATTTTACAAGTTCTAGCACACACATAATATTCAAAAATGCATAATTCAAAAATTATAAGCCCAAATTGCACAAGGCCAAATCCTTGTGTTAAGGACAAAAAGATGTTACATAATTCATGAGTTGGCCACGAGTTTTGATCAGATCTTAAAGGTTCACTACTAAACCTTATAGAACCAATATTGAACATTAAAATAAATAACATGAACATTCATAATTAAATCAAATAATTACTAAAACTAACATATACAACAACTATAGAACATAATAAGATATAATATAAGGGTTTAGTAACAATTTACCAAACACCTAAGGAGAGGTTGACGAACGTCCAATCCGGGGCAGGGAAATCGTCCGCGTGTTCGGCATTGGGGCGGCTCGCACGTCGAATGATGATGATCTCCGAGGCTCGTGACACGGACGTCAGCCAGCAGGTGCTCAAAGTGCTAAGGTTTGCGGGGAGCGGCAGTGACGAAGATCGCGTGTCCCGACTGCCGATAAGCCACAAACTAGTGCCTTGAATTGCCGATAGGTGTGTAGAGGTTCACAAACTGCACCCCTTTAAACGAATAAAATTGCAATAGAAATCAAAAGAAAACTAAGACAAAGTGTTTGAACAAATATTCGATTTTTTTGTTTTTTTATAGAATTGATGATTAAAAATAACATGGGGAAGGGCCTTTATATAGACACAAATTATATCTAGTTCTAATCAACCTAGTACTCTAATAAAGCAATAAAATATTAGGAATCCTAAACAAGCTAGAAATCATGAAGGAAGAAGGAAACAAAATAACTTCGCTTGCACTCCAAGCACTTCTCTTGGCCGCCCAAACCAACCGCCTGCGCCTTTCCATAGTCCTCGAGAACTAGGGCGCTGCCTCTGCCGCGCGTGCGCTGCTGTCCAGCGTGCCGCGCACGCCAGCGCTCCCTGCGCCGACCTTGCGCGCGTGGTTGCTCGCCAGCCCCGCGTTGCCGCTTACCTCGACGCATAAGGTCTCGCAGGCCTACCGCGCGCGTGTCTCCTTGCTGCGCAACTTGCGCGTGACTTCCTCCACAGCCAACCTGTCGCGCACGTCGCTTCCACTGCCCGACTGTTTGCAAGCCTCGAGGATTAGGGCCTTGCTCCCCGGGCGTGCGCGCTCTCCTTCGATGCCTGCGTTCGCTGTGCTCGTCGCTTGCGCGCCATTGCTCGCTCCTATCTACTGGCCATCCTTGCGTGCCTTGCGCGCACTCCACTTGAGAGCGCGCACCTCAGCCGTCCCACGCACTAACCTACTTCGTGCAAGATAGGCGTGACTCGCGGCATTCTTGAGCTGCCCCTAGCCACATTCGCATCATTCCCGTCCCCTTCAAGTGTGTCCTTGTCCTCGAGGACGAAATTTGGGAATTGATCATGCATCTCATCTAAGTCTTCCCATGTGGCCTCTTCCAATGGCAACTCTTTCCATTCAACTAGTACTTCCCAACGATATCGTCCCGCTTTCCTCACTTGGCGATACTCAATTGCTCGACTTGGTCACAATATGATGTTGGGTTCTGTTAGGAACGTCAAACAACATGCACAGTATTGAACTTTAT